ACACACACACACACACACACACAGAGTGAATGAGTGTTTTCAGAGCACCTGCTGCAGGAGAAACCTGGTCAAAACCTGGTTTCTGTTGAGGTTGTTTTCCTCCATCACAGTCTCCTTTGACTTTGAACTGAATTATAAAGATGTAATTAAAATGACTGCTTAAATTAAGAACAATGCTGACTTCCTTGTTTTTTACTGTAAAGCAACAGCATCTGTATTAGGGCTGGGCTATATAGCTAAAAAAATTGATCAACGATATATTGTTTCATATCGTTCGGTATCGATAATTATTGACTTTTTTATAACCTTTTTTAAAACAAAGAGCAATAGAAAAAAAACTATTAAATTTAACCACTGTATTTTTAAATTAACCCAATTTATTGAGACAAACTATTTTTTTTTAACAGTCAAACACACAATAAAAATTAAACAAATATCTAATTTCTAATGTTTTATATGCAGATTAAAGAGGTCTGAAGGAAACGTTTGTCTTGTCTCCCGAAGCCACAGGAGGGTGCAATGAGCAAAATAACAGCGCATTAAACTGCCAACGCAAAGGAAATAACGGTCTATAAAAAGAAAAACGTGCATTACGTCTAAATTAACTCCTATGAATCAAACATAATTTCGTAAATTGCATAAACAATTATGAACAAAACAGCATCATGTATTTATGCATTGCTTAATCTAAAGAGCCGAAGCACCGATCACACAGACTGCATTTAAACACATACGAGACGCAGTGGAAAGGAATAAACCTCCACAAATTTGTGTTTTCTAAAAAAACTGTTTTTAAACTGTTTTAACGTTGCATGGCTTTCTATACATCTCTTCTCTGAGACGTGAGTGCAGCAGTTATATTTGTACATCTAGAAAATGCGCCGAATATGTGTTCTGTGTGAATGGCTTGGTTTGGGTTTTAACCCTTTCAAGATCTTCCCCGCATTGAGCTTCTATATTTTTCTAATATTTTGAATGAATAACGCAGCAACTGCGTGTCTCGTGGGCTAGACTAACAAAACATTAAACTACAACGTCACTTCCATCATCATCACCGCATCTCGTGCTCCACTGATGACGCTCCCTGACGCACTCCTAACATTGGATTGTACTATTTTTGCATTCAAATGCAAATGTTTTTTTTAAATTCGACTAATATTCATTTTTTTTACTCAATCTCCTCATCACAGGCAGCACAGCCCTCATGTTCGTGTTTGTGTGTGCTGTCTGAGCACGTGACTATATCGAGCGATATATCGAACATTTTTTATATCGTTATCAAGGAGGGTGTACCGTCGATAAATATCGATACCATTTTATCGCCCAGGCCTAATCTGTGTCGTATCAAGCATTAGAGGTATGAAGGTGACTCTGAGCTAAGCCTCCAGCAGCAGAAGAGACGGTCGGGACTCGTACCAGCGGCGCTGCTGTGTGGCCTGAGGCTCGTGTCCCGGATCCGAGAGTAATATTCCCGGACGAGAGACGAAACAGAATCACGTGTCACATAGACGCTTTCACACACGGCGTCGATCAGCCGCTCCTGCAGACAGAGAGAGAAACGGACTCCTGATGATGATTCATTATTATACAGTGTTTCACGACGATCATCCTGCGTCACACCACACACACACACACGTTCTCGCTCACTACCTTCAGTCTGACATCATGATGATCATAAACGTGAGGTTTAAGTGCAGTTCACACAGTGAAGCTCATGATAATGATGCGCCGCGCCGTACCAACCTTCACCCGTCTGTCTCTAGCAGAAGCTCCGCCCATCTGCAGGCGCGCCCCACGGGCGAGGGCGTGGCCAAACAGGAAGTGGGCGTGTCCCTGCAGCACATCAGCAGCGGATTCCAGCTCCGACAGCTGCTCGTGCAGGAGATTCTGACCAATCACAGTCGCGTCAGATGAGACCGTTTCCATGGCAACACAAGAGTCCTGGAGGCAACGGAAAGTTGAGAGTCTGTGTGAGTGTGTGTGTGTGTACGAGTGTACGTTTCTGAGCGCGAGTGGGTATATTTGTGTGTGTAAATGTGTGCGTGTGTGTACCTGTGCATCCATCAGCTGATTCAGTTTCATCTCTCTCACAGATCGCAGGTAAAAACATCGAGCTGCTAAAATTCTCTGAAACTCCAGAATCAAAAGATGCTGCTGCTCTTCAATTAGAGCACAACTGCAACCAATCAAATCCATCAGTCAATCAATCCATTAAATAACGAATGAACGGCTCAATCAGTGCATCATGGACTCACCTCATCTGCATATCCGAACACCTGGAAACCGTCGCCGTGACGACCTCGCGCTGCTGTTCTCCAAAGTGATCCAGACATGCGCGAGTCAAAGCCTCGTCCTCCATCCACACCTGCAGCATTCCACAATGCTCTTCAACACATCCCATAATGCTCGTCAGTATACTGCATGTGACTGGTGTAACGGCATCACCTGTCTGCGTCGCTGCAGCTGCTCTCTGAGCGTGTGCAGGTGTGTGTGGGCGTGACTTTCCTCTCGCTGCATCTGATTGGTCACGGTGAGCTTCATGCTCTGCAGCACTGATTGGCCATGGTCTGTGGAGGGGGCGGAGCCTGCAGTGACGCTACTCAGGACAAACTCTGAGCACAAATCAGCGACGTGTCTGCTGCACTTACTACACAAGCTCTGTGTGACAATAAACACACACACACACGTCACAGGGGTCCCACACACACACACACACACACACACACACACACACACACACTCTCCGTCCAGCGTTCACACAGAGCGTCACTGGTTCTTGTGTCCTGCTGCAGCTCAAAGTCTCGCCTCTGATGCCAGTGTCTCACCTGCAGCTCCGCAAACACCTGCACAGACAGACAGACAGTGACACAGACAGACAGTGAGACAGTGAGACAGACAGACAGACAGACAGTGAGACAGACAGATA